TTAGTGATGAGACCTGTCATAAGCACAGCAGCCTTTGACGAGGGAGTTCTGGGCCCCTTCTGCACCTTAGCAGCAATTGGGGGAGGGGGAATCAGGAAGTGCTTTCAGAGAGTGAAGGATCTGGAGATCATTGCCAGGACAAGAAGAGACTTGCTGGGCTGCCTCTCGGTTTGATCCTGACCCCCAACTGCTCCATGAGCAATGACAGCTGCTCCTAGCGCTGGAGATAGACCTCCCAGCCTGCATCCAAATTTCCATCACCAAGTTTGGGTGTAGCTGGACCTGGGGGAAGGGGGTTGTATGGGTCCAATAGAGAAAGTAGGTATTCAGAACTGGGCTTGGCTCACACCCCTTTCTATTGAGAATTTGCATGGCCTTTCTTATCTGGCTTGTGCATGTCTCATGACTGAACATAAGGAGAGACCGCCTGAGCTGTGCCTCACATACCACTGACTCTGCGAGCCCGTCACTGTTATGTCCGGCTATCTGTGGCATAACCCTGTTCCTTACAACAGGAGGCTCTGTAAGCCAGTGCAAAGGGAAACAGTGTCTCTTCTACTGACCAAGTGCATGACCAGACCTGTCCACTAACTAACCCTCAGTGCCTTTGTTGTTTGGGTGTTCCACTTTAGTTAGGGCCAGCAGTGACTCCTCTTGGGATTTTATAGTGCTGAGAAATGCAAAGTAATGCACATAACCCCAACAATACATACAAAATGATGGGATCGAAATTAGCTGTTACCATTCAAGAAAGTGATCATGGAGTCATTGTGGATAGTTCTCTGAAAATGTCCTGTCAATATACAGTGGCAATCAAAAAGCTAATAGAATATTGGAAACCATTAGGAAGGGATAGATAATAAAAAAGAAAATATCTGGAATACTGTGTGCAGTTCTGGTTGCTGCATCTCAAAAATATAAATATTTGTATTGGAAAAATACAGAGAAGGTATAGGTTACCTAGGGAAGTCGTGGAATATCCATCCTTAGAGATTTTTAAGACCTGTCTTGACCAAGCTCTGGCTCGGATTATTTAGTTTCTGTTGGTCCTCCTTTGAGCAGGGGGTTGGACTAGATGACCTCCTGAAGTCTCTTCTAACTCTAATCTTCTATGGTTCTATGATTCTATAAATTGGAAAAAGTACAGAGAATGGCAACTGTCAGGGTTCCCTCCCCACTCTGAACTTTAGGGTACAGATCTGGGAACCCGCATGAAAGACCCCCTAAGATTATTTCTACCATTTTAGATTAAAAACTCCCCTATTCCTTGGATTAAGTAACGCGGCCACCACCATGTGATTTAAACAAACATTTAGGGAGGGCCACTTAGAGCCCTACCTTCCCCAAATATCCCCCCAAATCCTTACACCCCTTTTCCTGGGCAGGCTTGAGAATAATCCCCCAAGCCCCTACACCCCCTTTCCTGGGGAAGCTTGAGAATAATATCCTAACCAATTGGTACAGGTGAACACAGACTCAAACCCTTGGATCTTAAAACGATGAAAAAACAATCAGGTCCTTAAAAGAGGAATTTTAATTAAAGAAAAGGTAAAAGAATTACCTCTCTAAAATCGGGATGGTAAGTACTTTACAGAATAACAAAAGACTCAAGAACATAGAGGATCTCCCCTCTAGGCAAAACCTTAAAGTTACAAATCCAGGGATAAACCTCCCTCTAGACAAGGAAAATCACAAGCCAACATAAAAGTAAGCTAACGCATTTCCTTATTATTACTTTCTAATTCTAATGGATTTGAATTGCTTGCCTTCTTGATCTGTCTCTGACAAGCACACAGAACAGACAGACAAAGCCTTTTCCCCCTCCCCAGATTTGAAAGTATCTTGTCCCCTTATTGGTCCTTTTGGTCAGGTGCCAGCTAGATTACCTTAGCTTCTTAACCCTTTACTGGTAAATGGATTTTGTGCCTCTGGCCAGGAGGGATTTTAGAGTATTGTACACAGAAAGGTGATTACCCTTCCCTTTATATTTATGACAGCAACAAAAATGTTTAGGGGTATGGAAAAGTTTTCATATGGAGAGAGATTAAGAAGACTGGGGCTGCTCATCTTGGAAAAGAGATGGTTAAGGGGGGATATGGCAGAAGTTTATAGAATCATGACTGGTGTGGAGATAGTGAATAAGGAAGTGTTATTTACTACTTCACATGACCCAAGGGTCACCCAATGAAGTTACTAGGCAGCAGGTTTAAAACAAACAAAAGAAAGTATTTTTTCACACAATGTACAGTCACTCAGTGGAAGGCCAAAAGTATAACTATATGAAAAAGAATTAGATAAGTTCATGGAAAATAGGTCCATCAATAGCTGTTAGCCAAGATGCTCAGGGACACAACCCCATGCTCTGGGTGTCTCTAAACCTCTGACTGCCAGAAGATGGACGCAGATGAAAGGGGTCAATGACTCAATAATTGCCCCATTTTGTTTTTTCATTCTGAAGCATCTGCACCATCCCCTGTCAGAAGACAGGACACTGGGCTAGAGGGAGCATTGGTGTGACCCAATATGGATTTTCTTATGTTCTTAAATTTGTCCACTGATGGATGGGCTGCTGCAGATAAGTCTTTTCCTGGGGATCCTTCTGTTATAGAGCTGGCGTAGCCACCCTAGCAGATGTCCGGTGGGTGCTGAGTGTGGGAGGCTGATGAGAGGCAAGTGCTGCCATCTAGTGGTGTGGTCCTGTAGCAGGAGTCACAGAGGTTCATGGGTTGTGCTAGAGCTGGGCTGGAAGACAGAACCCCCCCTCCCTGCCCCCGCAACACAAACACACACACACACACACACACACACAATGTTTTGATCAAAACTAAAAATTTTCCTTTCACCCATTTTTAGGCTGAGATTTCATAGAAAAAAGGATCATTTTTCTCTGAAAGCTCAGCTGCCATGATAGTGCTCGGCTGCAGCTGCCTGGATCCTCAAGAGAAATTGGAGCTTTTTCATCTGCCTCATCCTCATAATATAAATGAAGGTGGCACTGACGGAATCTATGGCTGCACTCAGGGAATAGTCACATCTCCTGACCAGTCTATGGCTGGGGTATTGTGCCCATCCGCTACTCTAACCAGCCCTCCCATCTCTGTGCAGCTTCCTCCACCATGTACAACGCCCCCTTCAGCAGATAATGCGGGCAGTGGCTGCTGTGACAGGCCCTGGTAGCACATCTCGGATGAGAGAGGGTCCTAGAGCAGTTGTGGAGGCACAGAGATTGTGGGTGGCTGGGCCGAGCTATCAGAGGATCACTGAGATCTGTGCATAACTTTGGGGATCCCTGGATCCTGGGTCCCCCTGTTATTCCTCAGGGAAAATTGTAGGACTGGAAGGGACCTCAAGAGGTCATCTAGTCTCGACCGCTGAGCTCATGGCAGGACTAAGTATTATCTAGACCAGGGTTCGGCAACGTTCGGCATGCGGCTCGCCAGGGGAAGCACCCTGGCGGGCCGGGCCAGTTTATTTACCTGCTGACTCGGCAGTGATGGAGATTCCACAACCTCCCAGAGCAATAACAATCCAAGGGTAATTTCCATGTAGGGAGCATTGTGGGCTCTCCCTTCCTTGGCCTGAACCCTTGGTTTGTTGTTATTAATTATTATTATTATTATTATTCATTTCAGCAAGAATACAGCTGTGACAGCATCATCATTACCACTCAGTGTTCCTGAGGGAGCCATGTGACTAATCGACACCACACGAACAACCCGGATTCCAGGACTAGATCCTGCTCAGTAGTGGTGCTGAAGTACAGCTGGGCAGCACCACCACCCATCCCCTGATGCCCCAAATCAGGATTTCCCCAGGGTTTCCTTTTCTAGAGGTGCCATGTTCTCTAGCCCCGATCCTGCCAGAGGCTGAGTTAGACAAGACCCCACGAAATATCAGAGACTAGTATCCAAATCGCCTCAGGTTTATTTGCTACTGGGAATTGAATCAGCAAAAGCAATTTCAAAGTCACGATGGAACAGAACCACTCGTTTGTTTTTCAGCAGAATAGAGCAAAGATGCAGCAAAGGGGAGTGTAATAGTGTTTGTATGTAATTTACACCCATCATCTCTTCCACGAGCATGGCTAAAATAACTTGCACTTACTCAACAGGACATTAGTGAAATACCAGTGATTGCACTATTCACCCATGTTTGATGCCAACCCTGCTTCAGTAACCATCCACGTTAGCTTGTAACTTGCCAGATAACTACCGACCCTTGCATGGGGAGAGGATGCAGGTCCTGTGAGGATGAAGAGAAGCCTGTAGGATGATTGAACTCTCTGGATTCAGTCAACATTGGCCAGGCAAAGCGCTTCAGCTTCTCTTGGATTGATTCTTGGGGGGCAGAGTAAGGGAGAGTTAATAGAGCCCGGTTCTGATTGAATTGACACATGAAACTCTGGCGTGTGGCTGTAGATATCACTGTTATTGAATTTAGAACTTGACCTAACAATGTATCCCTTGTGTTGCAAATAGTCAGAAGCACAATTTGGACTCTCACTAGTGGAGAAAATAAAAAAAGGATATAAAATAAAGCAATAACATGCGTTTATAAATAGTTTCAGTGCAGGACAGATAAATACAATGACCGTTTTCACCATGTACTTGGCATGTATTTACACACATGGCATGATACAAAGGGCCACACTCAGAAGTAAAGGGCCAGAAAGGGTGTCTGTGTGAAGGGTATAACAGAGTTCAAAAGAGAACTACGTAAATTCATGGACGATGGATCACTTGATGATTCCCTGTTCTGTTTATTCCCTCTGGGGTACTTGCCATAAGCCACTGTTGAAGACAAGATACTGGGCTGCAAGTCTGATCCAGTCTGACTAATCAGAACCATGTAAATGCAACAGTATGTTTTTGCTTATTTTGAGCTCTGCAGTCTGTAGAGCTTCAATGAAAGAATGATTTCTTGCTAAATATCATCCAATCACCTCTTATTTTTCTTTTAGGAAGGACATTTCAGAACTCCTCAGACCTGCCCAGTACATTATGTCAGATGTCAATGACACCAAATTCAACTCTGCAGTGTTCCTTCTCACCAGGCTACTGGGTCACAAAGATGCACATCTCTGGATTTCTATCCCATTCTGCTTCATTTATTTTATTTCGATAGTAGGAAATTCAATCATTCTGTTCATTGTAAAAACAGATCCAAGCCTCCATGAACCCAGGTACATTTTCCTTTCCATGTTGGCCATCACAGATCTTGCAATATCGATAACCACAATACCGACGATACTGGGCATTTACATGCTTAACTATAGGCAGATCAGCCTCAATGCCTGTTTAGCCCAGCTGTTCTTCATCCACTTGCTTCAATGCATTGAATCCTCTGTGCTGTTGTTGATGGCCCTTGACCACTTCATCATGATCCATAACCCGCTGAGATATGCTTCCATCTTAACCCCACCGGGAATAGCCAAGATGGGACTGGTGGCTGTGCTAAGAGCGATGGCCATAATACTTCCACTTCCCTTTCTCCTGAAACGGTTCCAATACTGTCTAGCCAATGTTCTTTCCCATTCCTACTGCCTACACCAGGAGGTCATGAAGATGGCTTGTTCGGATATCACAGTCAACAGCATCTATGGATTGTTTACTAAACTCTTAACAATGGGGCTAGACTCGCTGCTCATCTTCCTCTCTTACGTGATGATCCTCAAAACAGTGCTGAGCATCGCATCCCCCGTGAAGTGCCTGAGGGTCCTGAACACCTGCATCTCCCACCCCTGCATCGTCCTGCTCTTCTACACATCAGAGATCACCTTGTCTGTGATACACAGATTCGGGAAGGGCTCTTATCCCTTACTTCAGATTCTCCTGGGCTACATCTCGCTGCTTCTCCCACCGCTGATGAACCCAATTGTGTACAGTGTGAAAAGCAAACACCTTCGTGTGAGGATAATCAGGGTGTTTCTCAAGTGAAGGGTCAGTTCACCACCTGGCTCCAGTGACATGGGAGACAAAAATAAGGGGCCACCTATTCCATCCTGGACCCTTACATCCAAGATGACATGAGTTACTGATCTCCACTTGTAGACAGGTTCAGATGGGGTCTAAGGCTGATGAGGGAGGACAGAGATGGTGAGGGAGGACAGGGCACTGGGGGAGGGAGAACAAGGCAGGCAGCAGCATTTACAAAGTGACTGTGTTTGTTGAGACCCAGGGGATTAGTGGATGTTGGCTCATAAAGAGCCGTATAAGTTGCCTCTCCGAACTCACAATTCCTATCGATGATCAATAAAGAGAGTGATATGTATGCTGTTTCCCATTACACCTGGCCTGTCACTGTCCCATCTCTGGCTAAACATTCAAGGGCTATGAAAAAAGTTGCAGAGCTGTTCTGCTGTCACAGTCCTGGCCCTTTCTGAGTGCTCTGGGTGCAGCATGACCCATGGGTACTGCTCCAGCTGTGGACAGAGGCTATTCAAGGGACATGGTCACTCAGTTTCCAATAGCACACTCAGTCAGGTGCTAGTGACTGAGTGGTGTCAGGGACATGATTAACGCAGGAGCGCCAGGAGAAACCATTGACGCAACCCCTCCATTAATAGCTTTGCACACACCACACCTGCTCAGTCCACCCCCCACTGAGGCAGGGCAGAGCTGCATGTGTGTGTAGTGATCTGACACACATGAGTCCTGGTAAGAGACTCAGGCCTAGGTTCCCTCCCCGTCCGCTCCATTTGTGCTGCCCCAGCAATGCAAAACAGTGAAAACTGGCCTCAGCTCAGACCCAGCTACCTCCTATCCCAGCCCTGCCCATTCAGAGCAGGGTGACCACCTTTTCAAAAGGCAAAAGCGGGACACAGGCCGGGAGCCCTGTTCTCTCGGTAACGCCACCCGTGCCCTTCTTCTTCCCCTTGGAGGCCCCACTCCCTGCTCCTCCTCTTCCACTGAGGCTCCACCCCCGGTCCAGGCCAGAAGCCAGAGCCAGGCCATGGAAAGAGCTGATCTGGGAGCCAGAGCCTCTGTGAGGAGCCCCAGATCCTCAACCTGCCCTGGGCAGGGGGGATAAGAGAATGCCCCAGCCTATGTCCCTGTCCCTCAGGACGCATCCCCAGAGAAGGTGGAGAGTCTGGGAATCCCCACAGCAGCCTGGGCTCCCGGGGTAGCTGTAACCGTGCTTTTGTGGATCACAACTGTGAATACCAAATTCAGGACAAACTGCTGAGAAATAGGGCAGAGAGATCCCCAAACTGGTGGTTATTCTCCCATGAGATATACCAAACCAACAAGAGAAAGTAAACTTCTGTTTCACCACAATGGCAAACAAGAAGTTTCCTTAGATATTCCAGTACTTATATCCTCATCAAATACACTAGATTAAAGATGTCTGGTTCGTTAGAATGAATTTAATGTAATAATAGGTTCATTTGATCCCAAAGGACCAGCAGCACAGAGAAGTCAATATATAATTCAGATCTTACCCAAAAATCATGCTGATGCTAATTCATTGGTTAGAATGCTCCCATTTGTATAAATTCATAGTCCAGAGGCTTGATCAGGAAAGAAGCAAAAATGGAGGTAGTTCCTTTCATAGACTTTTATAGTATCTGCCATGTGGAGGGAACCCCATTTTTTCAAACACATTCCTCAGCACAGCTAATGGAAAATTACAGGTGACAATTTGGGGTTTGAAATCACATGGGCAAGTCACATCTCCATCATAATTTTGCTTAGTCAAGCAGGAAATCATTACCTATACCCGGATAGTACATTTGCAGGACAGTCTATCCAGTGTAGATGGGCGTCTCCCATGGTCCATTGTCAGTTAAGTGTTTCTTGATGAGCCCTTAATTTGAATAATCCCTCCAAGATTTGCAGGCTAACTATTTTGTGGGCATTACTCCAGGAGCAAACCTTTGAAATCCAGGTATAGAGCCAATAGTCAGACCTTCAAATACAAAAATGATACATGCATACAGATAGCACAACCATAAGCAGCAAATCATAA